TGTGTGTGTGTGTGTGTGTGTTCGTGTCTGTGGGCGTGTACACGTGCGTGTGTGGGAAAGGCCAGGTTCGTTCCGCAGGTGGAAAGATGTAAATTTTATGACTTAAAAAACTTTAATAAGCACTCTAACCTGAGAACCTAAAGCCTCTGTCTTCCTTGTACATAACTTGTCTGTGCTCTGCCCCCCCCTCTCTCTCTTTATATATATATATATATATATATATATATATATATATATATATATATATATATATATATATATATATATATATATATATATATATATATAGGGAGAGATAGAGAGAGAGAGAGAGAGAGAGAGAGAGAGAGATAATCTCTCGCCTTCTTCCTCTTACTCCCTTTCTTCTTCTTCTTCTCTTTCTCCACTTACTCCTTCTCCTTTTCTTACTCCTACTCCTTCTTCTTCCTTCTCCTCTTATTATATTTTTCTCCTTCCTCTCCTTCTCTTTCCTACTCCTATCCCTGCCCTCTTACCCTCCTTTTATTTTCTTTTGATTCCCTTTTTCCTTTGTATTTCCCTAAATACAGACACCTAGATACATACAAACAGAATAACGCAAATATACAAAAAGCAGAAACGAACATAATCTCTTCAACAGAAAGAGAGAGAGAGAGAGAGAGAGAGAGAGAGAGAGAGAGAGAGAGAGAGAGAGAGAGAGAGAGTGAGAGAGAAATGTGAGAGAGAGAGAGAGAGAGAGAGAGAGAGAGAGAGAGAGAGAGAGAGAGAGAGAGAGAGAGAGAGAGAGAGAACAGAGAGAGAGAGAGAGAGAAATGTGAGAGAGAGAGAAATGTGAGAGAGAGAGAGAGAGAGAGAGAGAGAGAGAGAGAGAGAGAGAGAGAGAGAGAGAGAGAGAGAGAGAGAGAGAGAGAGAGAGAGAACAGAGAGAGTGAGAGAGAAATGTGAGAGAGAGAGAAATGTGTGAGAGAGAGAGAGAGAGAGAGAGAGAGAGAGAGAGAGAGAGAGAGAGAGAGAGAGAGAGAGAGAGAGAGAGATGCAGCATCCCACAACAAAGGACATCCGCCTTGTTCCCGCCGCCTTAGCTTTTTCTTAAGGGATAATCATGAGATAATGACGACTGTCGGACGACCGCTCCTGCATCACGTGACACAGTGGGGGTGAGGGTGGATGTGGGGGTGAGGGGGGGGATGTAGGGGTGGATGTGAGGGTGAAGGGGCAGGGGCAGGGGCAGGGGGAGAGGGGAGGAAAGGAGGGCACAGGGGCAAGGGAGGCGGGGGGGGGGGGGGTAGATGAATAGGGTTGTGACCTGCCCTGCTTGGGACGCGTTTCTTACTAAAGGTCATTATTTGCTTGCTATTTTTTAATGTAATTACGTACGTACGTGTGTGTGTGTGTGTGTGTGTGTGTGTGTGTGTGTGTGTGTGTGTGTGTGTGTGTATGTGTGTGTGTGTGTGTGTGTGTGTGTGTGTGTGTGTGTGTGTGTGTGTGTGTGTGTGTGTGTGTGTGTGTGTGTGTGTGTGTGTGTGCCTGTGCGTGCGTGCGTGTGTGTAAGTGTGCGTACATGTGATGGGATGTGTATTTAGTGAGTGAAAATTTCCTCCAGCATTTACATTCTACTCTTTGCCTCGAGTACTGCGCAGAAAAAAAATCGCACCCAATGACGCAAAGTTCCCTCGTGATTCCCTGAAGGATTTCCTCCGCCGCCTAGGAACTGCAGAAGGAAATTACGAAGCGAGACGTGAGCTGAAGGCGCTGTTAGCATATCAACTACAACGTCCTTCTCCCTAGCACTCGCCCGAACTCGTCCTTCCCTTTCCTGCTTTTCTCTTTTCTTTCTTTTCTTCCATTCTCTTCTCATCCCCTCTACTCTCTTCCTTTCTCTTTCCTCTCTTTCCTTCCTATTTATTTTTCTTTACATTCCCTCCTGACCTCCTTCCCCTTTTCCTTACCCCCTTCCTCCCTTCCTTCTCCCCTTACCTACCCTCACCTCCTTCCGCCCTTCCCCTAAAGTAACCCCTATTCCCCCCCCCCCTCGTCCCCTTCTCCTTCTCCCCTTCCCCACCCTCCCCTCCTTCCGCCCTTCCCCTAAAGTAACCCATATCCCCCCACTTCGTCCCCTTCTCCTTCTCCTCCCTTTCACCCGTCCCTCAACCCGTCCCTCAACCCGCCTAAAATCCAGCGCAAAACAGCACGAGCGCATTACAAACACGGCGCCCCACACGTGACCCGCATGCGCCGCGCATATTCAGGAGGGCCGCGTCACCCATCCCCCGCCGGACCCAATCGGCGAGGCGCGGGCGGCCGAGACGAGGAGGCCCTGAACAGTTTTGGGCGCGTGTCTTAGGAGGATCTGAAGAGTCTTGGGCAGAGGCGTGGCGTGGAGTCTTTAAATCTGGGATCTTGGGGGAAGTCTGAATTCCTGAAGAAAGATTTGGGCAGAGCTCTTGAACTGTCTTGAGGCAAAATGCTTGAACAATCTTGCGAAATGTCTTGAACACTCTCGGCAAAGGTCTTGAACACTGAACGAGATCTTCAAGCACAGACCTTGTACACAGTGTTGAGCCAAAGATCTTGAACAGCCTTGTAAAAAGTCTTGAACAGAGATCTTGAACAACCTTGGCCAAGCAGAGTTCTTTAGGGCAGAGAGCTTCAGCATTCCCGCCGAAGGTCTTGGCCAGAGATCCCGCAAGGTTGCGCCAACGACACCGATATCGGAATGCCCGCCTCGTTCCGTTCCGTCGTTCCCTTCCACGCCGGAACTCGAGGCGGAATGAGTCTTCCTCTTCCTCGTTCCTTGGGAATCTTGTTCCTTCCTCCTTTCTGCTTATGACGCGGTTCAATGTTATTATTGGAACAGCCATTGTTGCTAACATCAGCTGTTGCTCTTTGATAAGATCATGAACAATCTTGCTATTATCATTGTTTTCACTATCTTCATCTTCATTACTATCATCACATTTTCATCAAATCGCTCTTACTATTTTATCTTACCAATGGTCAACCTTCATATGACTATAATCATCACCACTGCTATTTTGTTATTATTATTACATCCATCAAATGCTTCTTTCTGTCTATACAATTACGAGCATAACACACACAGACGGAGGCACACGAAAAACGAACATTAATCACCTTCTAATAACAATAACAGACAAGCACGCCACACCAAGACAGACAGACAGAGGGAAGTTAGAGAGAAAAAAAACATTAATCCAGTAGATGTGTAATAAAGTTATATATATATATATATGTGTGTGTGTGTGTGTGTGTATGTGTGTGTGTGTGTGTGTGTGTGTGTGTGTGTGTGTGTGTGTGTGTGTGTGTGTGTGTGTGTGTGTGTGTGTGTGTGTGTGTGTGTGCGTGTGTGTATGTATATACATATATAAGGGAGCAAGACACAGAAGCAGGTTATGAGAAACAGACAAGACAAGACAAGACAAGACAAGACAATAAAAGACAATCAGGCGTCTGAGGGTAGAAGATATAGGGTTGGGGAGGGGGCTGAGGGGGCTGAAGGAGGAGGGAGGGAAGGGGGGTGGGAGGGAGGGTGGGAGGTCTTAGGGTGCAGGAAATAGGGAGGGGCGGTAAGGGTGAGGATGGGGACGAAGGAGGGAGATGGAAGAAGAGGGAAGAGGAGGGGAAAAAGAGAGAGTGATAAAAATAAAGAAAACAGAGATCTAGAGACGACAGAAAAGAGAAGGAAACCTAAGAGAAAGACAAGAGGGTGGAGAAGAAGAGGCTCCAAGGGTAAGGAAGGAAAGAGGGAAGGAAAAAGGTCGGAAAGCGAAGGCGGGGCGAGGCGAGGGGGTCACGAGAGGGCAGCCCCGAACAATCCTGGGAGATCTCGCAGGAGGAGGAGTTCGATGCCTCCTTCGTCAGCGCGGGAAGACGCACCCCTGCACCCCCCCCCTTGCCCACAACACCTCCTGCGGGCCCCCTGCAACAAACCCAACCCAACTCCCCTCAACTCCCGATCCCCAACCCTACCTGCGGGACCCCTGCAACAGACCCCCCAACTCCCCACCCTCAACCCCTCCTGTGGGCCCCCTGCAACAACCCCCCCCCCCCAAATCCCCTCAACTCCCCACCCCCAACCCCTCCTACGGGCCCCCTGCAACAGACCCCCCCAACTCCCCACCCCCAACCCCTCCTGAGGGCGCCCTGCAACCCCTGCGTGCAACATCTCAACTTTACGTGCCAATTCTGCACCTCGCGGGAAACCTTTCGATCTCATTTACATATTTCTTTGTCAGGATCGTAACTTTTCTTGCTCTCTTACGCAATTTCTTGAATCCCAACTACGGTTATAAATCTGGGTAGTTTGACATCCTCTTCTTCAACATCTTATTGTCATTATAATTATCATTATTATGGTTATTATTGTTATCATCATCATCACCATCATCTTCACAACCATTATTGTTACTTTATTGTTATTATCATTATCATTAACATCATCCTTATTATCATTATTTCCATTGTTATTGTTATCATAATTACCATCATTATCATCGTTTCCATCATAATCACTGGCAAAAACAATAGCATTACCATCATTATCATCATCGTCACTGAAAACTGCGAGTACAACTTCACCGTAGAAGAAGAAGAAGAAGAAGAAGAAGAAGAAGAAGAAGAAGAAGAAGAAGAAGAAGAAGTCCTTCGACACCAATAAAAAAAAATACACAAAAAATCCTAATCTTTCCTTCTAATCCCACACCCCTTCCCCCTCCCCCTACCCCCATCCCGAGAAGACGAGGCCTACATTTGAATAAACCAAGAAGAAAGAAAGAAAAAGTAAATAAATAAATAAATAAATAAATAAATAAATAAAAGCCAACGAGCTCCTTACCCTCCACCCCCACCCCCACCCCGTGTCAAAATAAAGAAACTCCTTTTTCGACATCACTCGACCAGAAAAAAAAGAAAATTGAATAAAGATCCTTCTGACTTCCCTTCCATCCTCAGCCACGTTCAAAAAGAAAATATATATATATAACAAAAAAAAAGCGCTTTACCTTTTTATTCAGTTCCTCCCCTTCGCTGAAAATATAAAGAATACACCGATTCAAAAATAAATAATGATGACAACAACAACAATAATAATATTAATGATAATAATACTAATAATAACAATAATAATAGCAATGAAAATAATACTAATAATAACAATAATAATTACGGTAACAATAATAACAATAATAATTATGATAATAGTAACAATAAAAATAATAATTATTATTATCATTGTTATTACCATTATTATTATCATTATCATTAATATTACTACTATTATAACAATAAAAATTATAAAAATAAAGAAAACCTAATACATACTATAAAAAAAATCACCAAACGACCTCCTCTTCCGTTTCAGTCCCCGAGGCCTCACTATTTAATTTTAAAAAATAAAAAAATTATAAAAAAAAAACTTGTCTCCGTCGCCGCCGCCGCCACTGGACCCGCCCGGCCCCCCCCACCCCGCCCTTATTTGTGCCGCTGGAACAACACCCTCATCCATAACCCGGCGGGAGAGGACGTGATAATGAAATGGAAGATGATTGAATAAGCAAACGTGGCGGCAGCGCGAATCAAAAGCAAAGCAAAGCAGAGAGAAACAGGAATAGAAGCAACGTCAAAAAAAAGAATATACGGTAGGTCTGCGTACAAGGTTAAAAAAAAAATAGACGATTTGGAGACACTATCTTTCGGGACAACAGACAGGTTTGGTAACCAGAACCCTTCCTCTCCCCTTCTTTCTCCCCTCCCCTCCCCTCCCCTCCCCTCTCTCCCACTCCCACCCATTCCCCGAGCCCCTACACCTCCTCCCTCCCTCTCCATCTCCCTCTCCTTAATCTCCCTCTCTCTTTGCCCACTCTCCCCTCTCTTACCGTCCCTCTACCCATCCTCTTCCTACCCCCACCCACTGTCTACCCACCCTCCACCCATCCCCCCCACTCCCACTGTGCTACCGGCGTTACCTGCTCATTAATATTCAAGATGGCACCGGGATGCTCTTCCTCGCGAGATGAAGCTGCTGCTGCTGCTGCTGGCGAGGCGGGGATGAGGATGCTGGACGCCAACCTGGGTCGACACGGCGAGACACACGACCGCGATCGCACCTGATCCTTTCTCTCTCCCCTCTCGACCCCCCCCCACCCCTCCGCACCCCTTTCATCTCCCACTGTCATCCCTCCCCTCTACCCACAGATGTCTCCTTAACCCTTTCCCTTTTCCCCTTCCCCACAGCTTTTAACTCTTCTCTTCCCCCCCTCCACAGCTGTCTCCCCATCTATTCCCTCCCCACACCTGCCTGCCACCCCCTTCCCCTTTGTACCCCCACGACTACTCCCCCCCATCTCCACTTTCCTCCCCTTTTCCTCTCCTCAAAGCTGCCTTCCCCCTTTCCCTCGCCCTCAAAACCATTTCCTTTTCTCCTACCCCCCCCCCCATCTACCCACACCCTTCATCTTCCCCAACACACCCGCAAGTACACACACACCATAAGTGCCTCCCTCCCCCTCCTACTCCCCTTAAACTCCCCAAAACTACAGTAAACATACCCCCCCCCCTCTGCTTTCACTGAAGACTCTGGACGACAAATAGCCTCACCCGACGACCCTGTGTCAGCTTCCATGTGTCGTTCTAAATACCGCTTCCTGGTCGTATTCTCATTCCTGTTTTGGTTGAATGGTTTTACATTTGTACTTTTTTGTATGTCCTTGTCCATTCACTTTACGTTAGCATTCATGCGTCTGTGCGCGTCAATGCGAACATGAATATGAATATGAACGTCAATGCCAATGTCAATGTCAATGTAAACGCAAACCTGATTATGAATATGCATATGTACTCCCATGCGCGTCCTTCGCTGCGACCCCCAACTCAAACAAACCTTTCTATGCACCAAAACTACAAGGCCAGACCCCCGAGAAATACCCCCCCACCCCCACCCCCACCCGTACAGAAACACAATAGAATTAGACAAAAGAAAATAATTCTCACCCAACTCTCCCATAGACTGAACCCGACCTACAGCATCCCGCTCATTAGCATAAATTTACAAAAGCCCGCATGTTGTCTGTGGATAATATTAACGTGCCTCTGATGCATATTCATTTATTATTAACGGAATGAGATTTGGTGAGAGTGAGTTATCTCTCTGGACGGGGGAACATAAGCCTATGAGACAAGACGGGCAATTTTGAGGGCACTGAGATTAATTTGCTTAGACCTATGTGAATAATACCAGCGAAATTTAGGAAACCCGTTATTGGGATCGGGAACAGAGTTAGTGGATGAATGAGTGTGATAGAGTGCGTAAGAGAGAGAGAGAGAGAGAGAGAGAGAGAGGGAGGGAGAGAGAGAGAGAGAGAGAGAGAGAGAGAGAGAGAGAGAGAGAGAGAGAGAGAGAGAGAGAGAGAGAGAGAGAGAGAGAGAGAGAGAGGGATAATGTGAGAATGTGATAATGTGTGTATGTGTACGTGTATGTGTATGTGTATGTGTGTGCGTGTGCGTGTGTGTGTGTGTGTGCGTGTGGGTGTGTGTGTGCGTGCGTGTATGTTTGTACGATCGTTCATATAAAACAGCACTATGTTTGCTATGTCTGTCGCAAGCCTTCAACCTTAGAAGTCTCAAAGGCAAAACGCAGTCCTCGCCACACCGATAAGTCTCCTTCTCCCTTAAAAGACGATCCTTAACAACAACAGCTGCGTAAAAACAAACAAGAAATACCTATGGAAATTAAGCTAAAACCTGGAAGAAGGCGAATGGAAATGATTTCAATGAAAACGACGCAGTGGCCATATCCAGTGCCGTAATTTTCATTTATTAGCATTTTTTTTTCTCTCTCTCCCTTATCTTCATCCCCTTATCTTGCTCTTTCATTTTTTTCTTTTCTCTCCATTTCTCTTTTTTCCTTTTCTTATTTCTTCTTTTCTTCTTTCCTCATCTACTTTTCTTCTTCGTCCGTTTTTTTTTCCTTTCTCCCTCTATTCCTTTTTCTTCTCTCTCATTCAACTCATTTCCTTCTTCTTCCTTCCTATTTCTTCCTTTTTTCCGATCTTTATTCTACTTAATATACTTTTCTCCTTAATTTTCTCCATTCTGCCTTTTCCTAACCTCCTTTTTTCTCTATTGCCACTATCCACCTCTTCGTTCTGCCTCCGCGCCAAGGAGACTCAAAAAAGTCTTATCATGTAATTACAAAATCATCACTCCCGTCTTCCTTATATCTTCTTTACCTCTCTCTCTCTCTCTCTCTCATCTCTAATTACCCCCGTGCTCATTTTCTTCCCCTCTCTTCCTCTTCTCTTCCACCTTTCGTGTTGTTTTGATAGTGAGAATGATAATGACTGCATTATCCTTCAGCATCAATGGTAAAAACTTCATTACCAATGGACTATTGATGAAGCGAAAGACAGCATCATTATCATAATCAAGGCTGTTCATTTGTAATAATAAGAGGAACTATTATCATTCTCATTATCGAACAGCTAAGCTCTTTGTTACCAGAAAATGCGAATATAATCGTCATCGAAACCATCAATCATAAAACGGACTCTACGCATCATCAAAACTGCATTAAAATGTTTGTTTTTTTATTGATAGAACACGAAAATAATACTTTGTTCATTCGTGTAATACATTTGTACATGTTCACACAAACACACATACGCATATACACATACATAAACAGATAGATAAACAGATAGGTACATAGACGAATAAACAAACGAACAAACAAATAAACAGACACACAAATAGACAGATCGGTCGCGCATACATCAGACGCCGTCAACACTCAACCCCGAGTCGCATCACACACACCACACGCATCCCACGCAAAGTCAGTCCACTTCCGCACTGCCGCTGTCGTCACCCCAACAGCTTCCACAATGTCAACAAGTGCCTCCTTACCCCCCCTCCCCCGCCTCTTGCCCCTCCCACCCTTACCCCTCTCTTGCCCTACCCCCCCACACCCCCTCTTCCTCCCCTACCCTTTCTCTCGAGTCTTGCCTCCTCTCTCCTTCCCTCCTGACTTGATCTCCCCAACGCGCAGGAGGCACGTGGCACTCTGCGACCTCCTTCAAGGTCAGGGTCAGGCGGGGATCTGCGCGAGGGGATTGCAACGATGATGGAATGCCGAGGAGAAGGAGGAAGAAGAGGAGGAAAGGGGAAGAGGAAGAGGAGGAAAGAGGAGGAGGAGGAGGAATAAGATAGAGAAAGAGGAGAATGAGGAGGAGAGGGGAGAAAAGGGGGAAGAAGGAGGAGGAAAAGGAGAAAGAGGAAGAGGAGGAGGAGGATGCGAAGGAGGAGGAAGAAGTGGAGACAGTGATATAGGGCACTGATCCCGAAGAGGAAAATGGGAATTAAAAGGAGGAGACGCTGAAGAAAATAGTACAAAAAATATATAATCCTATATACTTTAAACCATTTCTCATAACAACAACAGTAAAAAAAAAAAAAAAAAGCACACACGACACCAAAAGACTCAACAAAAATAAACCAACATAAACACAAGATAAACAACAACAAAAAACCTAACCAGCAAAACAAAAATCCCTTAACGATACAAACAACACATACACACAAAAAAAAATATTAACATATCTTCGCGTGATGCTCCCGCTGCAAAAATCGAGCGGCCCGTCACGATCGCTGCCGCCGGACTCTGAGCTCCAATTAAAACCTACGAAAGCAATTACGACCCGATGCTCTTCATGACTCCCATGGCTGTATGACCGGGGCCTTTTACTCGAGGGAAAAGTTCGAACGCCGAAGAAATAGAGAAGATTTAATATTTTTCTGTTCTGTGTTGAACACTGTCATTATGTACCGTTATATGTAGGTAAAAGTCCCACAATCTGTTCATCGATCTATATGTCAAACTACTTAACTTACAGTGTGTGTTTTTATGTATGCAGGCATGTATGTATGTATCTATGTATGTATTTATCTATGTATGTACGTAAATGCATAAATACATACATATATAGATACATACATACATACATACATACATACACACACCATACATACAT